GTGACCTGCAGATGAACACCTGAGGCCAGATTCACGAAGCAGTTACGCAAGCACTTACGAACCTGGGGCCAGATTCACGAAGCAGTTACGCAAGCACTTACGAACGTGTACATCTTTCTCCAATCTTTGACGGCTTTGGTTACATTTATTAAACAGTTTACAAGCATGAAAACTTCCCATTCAACTGTTGTTATTGTAATAAACAGCCTCCTGGTGCTTCGGAGCTCATTAACTGTTTACCAATTGTAAACAAAGCCGCCAAAGATTGAGAAAAGATGTACAGGTTCGTAAGCGTTTGCGTAAGTGCTTTCGTGAATCTGGCCCCAGGCCCCTTGCATGAGCCTCGCTTCTCCCTCACGAATATGTCTATACAAAAGTACGAGTTAAATAACTAACCCAACTGGCACATACCAAGTGAACTGCCTGTCACAGTTCTGCACAGACCTGCACAGGCAGTTTGCCTGTACAGGTCTGCACAGGCAGTGGGCACACTATACAGGACTGGTGGTGGTGTTGAGCATGGCGACCTGAAGGGTAACCCGGGAGGGAGGTGCAGAGGTGCAGAGGAGCAATGTGAGGAGGCCACATTCACCTGGTGCAGCGTGAAGGATACCAGGTGAGGTGGGGGAGGGTTGTGGGAGGCGGGGGGAGGGTCGTGGGAGTACGGGGGAAGGGTTGTGGGAGTACGGGGGGAGGATTGTTGGAGGCGGGGGAGGGTTGTGGGAGGTGGGGGAAGAGTTGTGGGAGGCGCCAGGTGGCAGGAGTCCTCCCACAAGGTCGGCCAACATCCTCCACAGAGAGAGGTGTCAGGATAACACGACGCCGTCAAAACACTAACTAGGTGTTGTTACCGCCGCGGCCAAGCCACACACAAGCCAGAGGGCCAGACAGGGTTTCCGTCTCACAGGTGCGTATAGCAGCACACTATTTCAGACTCGTGTTTGTAAGCTGAGAACTTTCCCTTCCCATTGCTCATGGTGAGCGTTACCCTTACTAGTTTTCCCAGGAACACGACCTGCCAATTGGTTAACAACCTGGTTCCCAATTATTGCTGGGTGAACAAGGGCAAACAGTTAAAAGATCTTCCCTGGCCAGGATTCGAACCCAGACCAAACAGCTCGCGAAGTTGCAATACGAGGGCGTTACCACTACACCAACAGAAACTGTTACCTGTACCTCGTCCTCCTTAAAGAAATGGTTAAACTGTAATATATAAACGACCTACCAAAACAAATATCATGCGCCAGTAGTGACCCATGACCTAGCCAGGGTACTAGTACCATGACCTCTGGTGACCTATCTAAACCTAACCTGCTTATAAGATTCTGACCTCGCCAGGGTACAAACTCCTATATTCTTTCTAACGTCACGAGACAAGTCGGACTATTGTGTAAACATCCCCGTACACGGCATGCTAGAACAACACCCGTCTCTTAACACAAATGCAATTTTCAGAACTAAACTGAGAACGTGTGTAGCTTTTTATTTCAGTTCACCGTTAATGTATATAGTTCCGGAACCCTCACATCCCAGGTACCATCGCAGGTACCACCCCCGTTGCTTATACGTGACGTGAGAGGAAAACTCGTTTAGTGACACGGGTCGCTCGCGGCACCTGTACAGGAAGACCACACAGGTGTGGCCTTGGTCGGCCGCGGCACCGTGAGAGCGCGCCACCAGAGACCTCCGCCGCCCCCTGCAGGGCTCTTCGTCTTGGGCGGCCACAACACACCAGTTGTTAACGACCCGACGGACGTTGTCACGCCACTATAACCTTCACACGGATATTTTCCTGCCTGTTACTTACATACTCTTCATTCAAGTACCACTTCCTCCAAGCACATGACGGCTCGTATCACCCTTATTCTTCCTGGAAACATTCTCAAACTTGAGGAACAGCTGCGCTTTCCAAGACATCCAGGAAGTGCTCGAAATGTAACGCTTCACAAACCGCTAATGTACTCTAGCCGAGACCACTACACCGAATCCGTCACAAACTTGCACTACGTCAACTAACGCTAAATGAAACTACATACATTACAGCTAGTATTACGACATCACTATTACAGGTACAGAAGCCAAGCATCGAACCCAGACAACTGACTTTCACAAAATGGAGTCCCAACGCCTTTGGAAAACAATATAAAAGTCAAGATATATTGAATATAAGGTGTTGTGAGCCTGACAGTTCCCTGGACGCCGGTTCGGTGCTCGCTGTATAATTAAATAATTATATTATATTATATTATATAATTATTAGGGAAGGGAGTACCACCACTGGCTGGAAGAAGGGGACCCATAGCCTCGGAGGAAACCACACATTGTTATATAATTATGCTTCCCGCGGACAGTGAGTAGTGACCACGGTCTGACTAGTGCATGGTGCCTCCTTGCTTACAATCATTGTGATAATCGGTCATTATCAATCACCATGCCCGTAATCACCATCATCACCCTGTTTCCCAAATCATGGTGAGAGGTGGCATCAGCCTCAATCTATGCATCACTATTTTAACCAAAATACTTTCAGCTTAATTCTGACTAATTGACTGGGGTAAATGCATAGCAGTTAACGATTGCTAAGCGCTTACGAGCGTTAACCACCCGCGGAGTTATTAGGTAGTTAACGCTCACAAAAGGAGAAACTTAGCATTAAAACACAAGTTGTAATGTGGAAATATATCATGAGTGTTGTGAATACGTTCTCCTGTGCCTGAGTAGGTCTAGTGTGCTACCAAGGGTACAATGCAGTGCTACAGTGTACAGTGCTACAGTGTAACTATACCCTGGAATGTTCATTGTCTCAGGCTCGGAGGGACGGCAGCTTCTCTATCACAACAACTAGGGGGCCAGATTCACGAAGCAGTTACGCAAGCACTTACGAACCTGTCCATCTTTTCTCAATCTTTGACGGCTTTGTTTACAATTATTAAACAGTTAATGAGCTCCGAAGCACCAGGAGGCTGTTTATTACAATAACAACAGTTGATTGGCAAGTTTTCATGTTTGTAAACTGTTTAATAAATGTAACCAAAGGCGAAAAAGATTGAGAAAAGATGTACAGGTTCGTAAGTACTTGCGTAACTGCTTCGTGAATCTGGCCACAGGCTCCTTAGAGGACCCCCCACCCCCCAACCCCGACCCTGCTGACGCATTCGTCAATATTAATATTAATTTATATATGAGAAAATTCCCGTTTTGAATGAACAGCATGTTAAAATTCATGAATGCTTTTTTGGGGTCGACCGCTGGATGTAATGGACTTGGTCTGAGAACGGGTTAAATGCTGGATTAACGTACATTTTGCCCGTGTTGATGAGGACGTGCTGTCTAACAAGCCTAGCCCGAGGATTGGTTGGCAAAAGCACTATTCAACAAAAATTCGCAGGTCATTAGTTGTGATTCGTATGTAAAGTGTTTTTCATTCACGAACAGGGAATGAAAAACTACTAGATTAACAAGCATTTGTATTTTTTTATGTGACGATCTGGAAAAACTTACACAAAATTTCAACCCATCCACAGACCAAGTCCATTCCATCCAGCGGTCGACCCCAAGGACGCATTCATCAATGTTAATGTGTGTATATCACGAAAATAAACACGTGATTAAAAATGTGACAGTGTCAGACCACGGAGGAAAATTGAAACAGGAATTTCCTTAAGTACTTTCGTATATTAATACATCTTCAGAAGGAGTGGACACTGTCATCAATGTTAACATGCTGTTCATTCAAAACGGGAATTTTATCAAATATAAATTAATATTATTATATATTAGTATATTGTACATATACAGGCACTGGTTAGGTTAGGTGTTTAGGTTACCTTACCTTGAGGTTACCTTGAGGTGCTTCCGGGGCTTAGCGTCCCCGCGGCCCGGTTGTCGACCAGGCCTCCTGGTTGCCGGACTGATCAACCAGGCTTTTGGACGCGGCTGCTCGCAGCCTGACGTACGAGTCACAGCCTGGTTGATCAGGTATCCTTTGGAGGTGCTTATCCAGTTCTCTCTTGAACAGTTCTCTCCAGGTTCTCTTGACGATTATTTGTATTTGTAGAACGTGGGTGAAGAATTCAACCCGTTCTCACACTAGGCTGTTTAAAGCAGCGGCCATCCTCCCCAAGTGCATTCATCAATTTTAATATACTGTGTATTAAAAATTGGTTTGTTGTCATAAATTAATATACTTATACATAAAAATTGTATGTATAGTTTGGCATAGGTTAGGTGTTTAGGTTCTGTTGGTAATTATTTGTATTTACAAGTTCGTGGGTGAAGCATTTATAGAATTGTGGTTCGAGCAGAGGACGTGAGCGAAGCACTTGTTCCGGAAGTGTTCGGACGTCGTCAGTTGTGAGTCGTGTGTAAACGATTTTTCATTCAGAAACAGAGGGTTTGGCGGGTGCATGGAATGGACTTTGGGTCTTTGTTTGAAGGACGGGCTGACAAACACACACTATTCACCGGACCAATGAAGAGAGCCGTGCTCGAGCGTATCGAAGCCAAGCAAGAGCGGTTTACGAAGGCAAGATGCGCGGAGAGAGAGGAAGGTGGCGGGAAGAGGAGCCGAGGCGCTGACGGTCACGGCCAGTAGCAGGTGGGTGGCAGTGTAACGAGGCTAATAGCAGCCCCCCGTCACCGCTCCCACACTACCACCACGGAATGTTGTGGCCCTCACACACACACACACACACACACACACACACACACACACACACACACACACACACACACACACTAGGCAGTGATGTGGAGGAGGCTGACTCCATACACAGTTTTAAATGTAGATAGCCCAGTAGGCTCAGGAAGTACAGCCCAGTAGGCTCAGGAATTTGTACACCAGTTGATTGACAGTTGAGAGGCGGGACCAAAGAGCCAAAGCTCAACCCCCGCAAGCACAAATAGGTGAGTACACACACACACACACACATTCCTACCCCTAAGAGGAGGGCCAAAGTTAGCATAGCACACGTCCCAAGAGTGTTTACGACAGCACTAACCTCTATGTGTTTGATTCTGTCTATAACGGAGTCCTCCTTGATCCTCTTGATGAAGGCGTAACCGGCGCCGTTGTCGGTGATGGTGAGGCCGAGCGCGTCCTCCGTCTTGGTGATCTCCACCTCCTTCGGCCGACCTGTGTACACAACCACACACGTCAAGGAAACCTGGATGTAAACAATGAACCTACTTTGACTGAACGTTACTCCCAAGTGACTACTTAATGGATAGACGCGATAAAGCGCCTAAATTATTGGGATCGTCTCAAAGTTCTCCAAATGTACTCACTAGAAAGAAGACGAGAGAGATATCAAATAATATACACGTGGAAAATACTGGAGGGCCAAGTCCCAAATCTGCACAGTAAAATAACAACGTACTGGAGTGAACGATATGGAAGAAAATGCAGAATAGAACCAGTGAAGAGCAGAGGTGCCATAGGCACAATCAGAGAACACTGTATAAACATCACGGTTGTTCAACACCCTCCCAGCGAGCATAAGAAATATTGCCGGAACAACCGTGGACATCTTCAAGAGGAAACTAGATTGTTTCCTCCAAGGAGTGCCGGACCAACCGGGCTGTTGTGGGTATGTGGGCCTGCAGGCCGCTCCAAGCAACAGCCTGGTGGACCAAACTCTCAAAGTCAAGCCTGGCCTCGGGCCGGGCTTGGGGAGTAGAACTACTCCCAGAACCCCATCAACCAGGTATCAATGGGCACAATATCGTGTTTGTTCGACGTCGAATCAACGTTGATGACGTCGATTCGACTTACTCCTGGAGATTGTGGCCACTGGGTCGCCAGTGTGGCCACTGGGTCGCCAGTGTGGCCACTGGGTCGCCAGTGTGGCCACTGGGTCGTCAGTGTGGCCACTGGGTCGCCAGTGTGGCCACTGGGTCGTCAGTGTGGCCACTGGGTCGCCAGTGTGGCCACTGGGTCGTCAGTGTGGCCACTGGGTCGCCAGTGTGGCCACTGGGTCGTCAGTGTGGCCACTGGGTCGCCAGTGTGGCCACTGGGTCGCCAGTGTGGCCACTGGGTCGCCAGTGTGGCCACTGGGTCGCCAGTGTGGCCACTGGGTCGCCAGTGTGGCCACTGGGTCGCCAGTGTGGCCACTGGGTCGCCAGTGTGGCCACTGGGTCGCCAGTGTGGCCACTGGGTCGTCAGTGTACCCACTGGGAGATATCTTTCCCCGGTAATCCTCTTACATCTTAAATGAATCATTAAAAGGATCCACTGTGTACAATTATTAATCTTCATGTTGGGCGCATTAGTAATTTGTATTAAAGCAGATTTGATGATATATATTAACACTGCTCTTGCAATTGGTTGATGGAAGAAGCATCCAGGCAATCAATTTGGTGAGAATTTTCAGACAAATGAATAAGCCGAGTAATAAGACATATTGGCCAGGGCTGGACTTGCCAAAAGGCCTTGTAGGCCGTGGCCGGGGGGCCCACCAGCACCAGGAAGGGCCCCACCAGCTGTCTACATGCATGTGTTTAGCCTTTGAATATCCACACTGACCACACGGTGGGACCAATTTAGCTGTTTTTTTGGCCTAGAGCCCAAAAAACCAAATCTGGCCCTGATATTGGCCACTTAAATAACTCCCGTTGTCGGGGACAGGATGCCTGTACTTGAGCTTATCGAGGTGACCCATATCCAGGCCACTTTAGGCCAACTACTGACCTTCCCCACGGTCCATCCGGGTACCTATTTACCAATAGGTTAACGGGGATATTACGTACAAAACAACGTAAACACTCCTTTACGAGGGTAGAAATAGCCTAAGCTATTCTATCCTTTTGAGATGTACTTCCTTTTCTCAATAAACTTACTTGAACACTCGTTTCTGTCCCGCCTTGGGATTGAACCAGGGTCTCTCGGGTGTGAGCCGAGGACGAAGACACTTGCGCTACAGGACCCCATTTAGCAAGTGAAGGAACGCACAACCTCTACTTAATGACTGACGCCATCTTGTCAAGACCGGGGAAGTAAGGTGATACACATTTATAACACAAACATGAAATTAAAATGACAACGTTTAGGCCCGTCAATTTTATATGAATGGGTTGTTGTATGTTTCAGTACTGTTATTATGTGTTATCCTCTTCATAAAATATGTGATTTTGTTATCCTTTTGTTATCCTAATATCCAGGCATATAGCCTAGTCAGTTGACTTCACAAACTTTCACAGTATTGTGTGAACTTTAAAACTAATGAATGCAAATGTGATGTATTAAACTTCCTCATTTTTTTTAGAGATACCCAATAAAGAAGACTGTAATATAATCTTCAGTACACAGAAGCAAAGGTTATAACGTGTGTGTCACCCTGACCAAGCTGGCAAAGATCTGGCATTTATATAGACAAATATAGGTCAAACAGCACACACATTCAAATGGAAGTATATAAATTAGAAATTAGAAGTGGGCAGTTGTCTAATGTTTACATTTGAAAGATTTCTATATCTCGCTGATTCGGAGAATGCCGACATAACTTTAATATGTAACTCCTCTATATGTAGAAACTTTATCATTAACACATACAAGTTTCTATGTGATACAAGTCAAGGTGCATACGCCTTCGACTCTCTTACAATCAACATGTACTGGCAAGAATATGTTGCAGAAACAATATTTGCGTAAGTTTTATCAGATATTCATTGCAATTGATTTAAAGTGCTGACCAAACTACACACTAGAAAGTGAGGCGACGACGACGTTTCGGTCCGTACTGGACCATTATCAATCGACTTCAGAATGGTCCAGGACGGACCGAAACGTCGTCGTCTCTTCACTTTCTAGTGTGTGGTTTGGTCAACATTTTTCAGCCACGTGATTGTGACTCCTCATCTGCACTTTCAAGTGGTTTGGCAGGATGAAAAGATGTGATTGTATGCATGTAAATACAATATATATACACAGTGCTGGACCAAAAACATGCGTCCTATCCTCTAGCAAATACGACATATAATAAGATCAAGGCATAATTTTTCAGGCAAGACCTGGGTAAATACGGGCTTGGAGACAGGATTGTTGATTTATGGAGCAAATTACCAGGCAGAATAATAGACGTGGGATCGCTGAATTGTTTCAAGCGTAGGTTAGACATGCATTTGAATGCGTTTGGGTAGATATAAATAGGACCTGTCACATATGGGCCAACAGAAGTTGCCTCATAAGGACCAAGAGGCTGCCTCATAAGGACCAAGAGGCTGCCTCATAAGGACCAAGAGGCTGCCTCATATGGGTTATAAGGCTGCCTCATATGGGTTATGACGCTGCCTCATATGGGTTATGACGCTGCCTCATATGGGTTATGACGCTGCCTCATATGGGTTATGACGCTGCCTCATATGGGTTATGACGCTGCCTCATATGGGTTATGACGCTGCCTCATATGGGTTATGACGCTGCCTCATATGGGTTATGGCGCTGCCTCATATGGGTTATGGCGCTGCCTCATATGGGTTATGGCGCTGCCTCATATGGGTTATGACGCTGCCTCATATGGGTTATGACGCTGCCTCATATGGGTTATGACGCTGCCTCATATGGGTTATGACGCTGCCTCATATGGGTTATGGCGCTGCCTCATATGGGTTATGGCGCTGCCTCATATGGGTTATGACGCTGCCTCATATGGGTTATGACGCTGCCTCATATGGGTTATGACGCTGCCTCATATGGGTTATGACGCTGCCTCATATGGGTTATGACGCTGCCTCATATGGGTTATGACGCTGCCTCATATGGGTTATGGCGCTGCCTCATATGGGTTATGACGCTGCCTCATATGGGTTATGACGCTGCCTCATATGGGTTATGACGCTGCCTCATATGGGTTATGACGCTGCCTCATATGGGTTATGGCGCTGCCTCATATGGGTTATGACGCTGCCTCATATGGGTTATGACGCTGCCTCATATGGGTTATGGCGCTGCCTCATATGGGTTATGACGCTGCCTCATATGGGTTATGACGCTGCCTCATATGGGTTATGACGCTGCCTCATATGGGTTATGACGCTGCCTCATATGGGTTATGACGCTGCCTCATATGGGTTATGGCGCTGCCTCATATGGGTTATGACGCTGCCTCATATGGGTTATGACGCTGCCTCATATGGGTTATGACGCTGCCTCATATGGGTTATGACGCTGCCTCATATGGGTTAATAGGCCTCCTGCAGTTTCCATTAAAGATCCAACACATCATTCCCTCTAGCACATACGGATCTTAAGCCTGTATACCAACATTGTCCTCATGTATGATGACTCGCTAACATATAAGAACACACACACCAGACACACGTTTGTTCACCAGACATTAGAACAAACAGCATCAAGGTCACATTGATTTACCTTTCCGGTGTGCAAATATGAAGTCGTCTAGGCCGATTTGTCCCCCTAAGAGTTTGGTCATGTCGACCTTGTGTGTGTTGAGCGTGCAGAACAGGATCTGAAAAGGCAAAAGAACAATATGTATTGTCTCTGGAAAAGAACACAAGAACAAAGGCAGCTGTAGCAGGCCTATTGACCCATACGAGGCAGCTGTAGAAGGCCTATTGACCCATACGAGGCAGCTGTAGAAGACCTATTGACCCATACGAGGCAGCTGTAGCAGGCCTATTGACCCATACGAGGCAGCTGTAGAAGGCCTATTGACCCATACGAGGCAGCTGTAGCAGGCCTATTGACCCATACGAGGCAGCTGTAGCAGGCCTATTGACCCATACGAGGCAGCTGTAGAAGGCCTATTGACCCATACGAGGCAGCTGTAGCAGGCCTATTGACCCATACGAGGCAGCTGTAGAAGGCCTATTGACCCATACGAGGCAGCTGTAGCAGGCCTATTGACCCATACGAGGCAGCTGTAGCAGGCCTATTGACCCATACGAGGCAGCTGTAGCAGGCCTATTGACCCATACGAGGCAGCTGTAGCAGGCCTATTGACCCATACGAGGCAGCTGTAGCAGGCCTATTGACCCATACGAGGCAGCTGTAGCAGGCCTATTGACCCATACGAGGCAGCTATTTATAAAGCCAGCTACAAAATGGGCAACATCACAGCTATACTTTACTCCCATCACCTCTTCAACAACATTTAACAAAATATATAATAGTTAAAATTCACTTTGCACGCACAGGGAACATGATCCAGATATATAAAATACTCATAGAAACTGAGGAAATATATACAGACTTCAGGCTGAGCAGCAGAGTAACGAGAGAATAAGCATAGAAGCTTGTAATATAGTCTTCAGTACCATCCCTCAAGACACTGGGACGAGCCACAGGGATGTTAGGAAACACTTCTTCACTGTAAGGCCAGTAAGCAAGTGGAACGAGACGAGCTAGAGGTTTGGGGGGGAGGGGAGGGGTGGATCTGGCCAGAAACAAAGGGATCGTGAGAGAATGCATAACAAGACCGACAGTGACCAAATCGAAACCCAAGAGCTGAAGCCCGGGCTTGCAAACTATGTTAGATAAACACACACACACACACACACACACACACACACACACACACACACACACACACACACACACACACACACACACACACACACGTGGCATCCCTTGTCTGAATTAGAGAAGAGTCGATGTTCTTATAAGTGCTCAGCCTTGTGGACTGGAATTTTCCTTAATAAGACAGCTTTTAGGCATCCTTTATTAATCACGTATTCACCTAGTTGTGCATGTGCGCATGCAGTAGCGCATGTTGCATGTTCCCTAGTTGTCACACGTGCGCGTATCCGAGTGCTTGTGTCTCCGTTCTTGTCTGTCTGCGTGCGTGCGTGAGCTGCAAATCAAAACATCGTTTAAACTGAAAAACCACACGCGTATACGGGCATGACGGCCGCTGATTGGCCCTGGCCTTCCATAGGTCACGCTAGTTTAGATTCGCGCCTGAAATGTTGTAGGAGTCGCGAGGACCCACGCATAGGCTACGACATTTATGGAGCCACTACAGGATCTGAGCCTGCTTGTTGACTTTCGCACGCTTCTGCTGGAACACAGGCCAGGCCAGGATAGGTAGCAGCGTCACAGGCCAGGATAGGTAGCAGCGTCACAGGCCAGGATAGGTAGCAGCGTCACAGGCCAGGATAGGTAGCAGCGTCACAGGCCAGGCCAGGATAGGTAGCAGCGTCACAGGCCAGGCCAGGTAGCAGCGTCACAGGCCAGGCCAGGATAGGTAGCAGCGTCACAGGCCAGGCCAGGATAGGTAGCAGCGTCACAGGCCAGGCCAGGTAGCAGCATCACAGGCCAGGCCAGGTAGCAGCGTCACAGGCCAGGCCAGGATAGGTAGCAGCGTCACAGGCCAGGCCAGGTAGCAGCGTCACAGGCCAGGCCAGGTAGCAGCGTCACAGGCCAGGCCAGGTAGCAGCGTCACAGGCCAGGCCAGGATAGGTAGCAGCGTCACAGGCCAGGCCAGGTAGCAGCGTCACAGGCCAGGCCAGGATAGGTAGCAGCGTCACAGGCCAGGCCAGGTAGCAGTGTCACAGGCCAGGCCAGGATAGGTAGCAGCGTCACAGGCCAGGCCAGGTAGCAGCGTCACAGGCCAGGCCAGGTAGCAGCGTCACAGGCCAGGCCAGGTAGCAGCGTCACAGGCCAGGATAGGTAGCAGCGTCACAGGCCAGGCCAGGTTACAGAACCAACTAGGAACGAAAACACACTAGACTTGTTATTCACAAACAATGATGAACTAATCAGGGATATCACAATCTCAGATACTTCATACTCAGACCATAAGCTCATTGAAGTGCGAACTAGCATAAATAACGGTAGTAGGTCTAAGAGACCCAACAAGCGAGAAGGAATATTCAATCAATTCAATTTCAACAATAAGAGGATTGACTGGGAAAAAATAAATGTAGACCTTGCAACCATTCAATGGGAGACGGTCTTAAGCGACAAAACTCCCACACAGGGAATAGCTCAACTGACAGCTGAAGCTTACAAGGTCTGCTTGAAGCACGTACCTGTGAGGAGGGGCAGAAAGAGGACCACTCTAGAAAGAGAACGGAGACGACTGTACAGGAGAAGGAAAAAAATAACGGAAATGCTTCGGCAGACACAACTATCACAAGCAAGGAAAACAAGCCTAAGCAGGGAGATTGAGGAAATAGAACAAACGTTGAAGCGATCATATGAGTCTGAGGAAATGGAATTGGAACAGAAAGCTATACAAGAGATAAGGAAAAATCCGAAATATTTTTTCACATACGCAAAATCAAAATCCAAAACCTCGACCAGTATTGGACCGTTAATTACAAATGAAGGTACGTACACAGAGGACAACAAAGAGATTAGTGAAATTCTAAGAAGCCAGTATGAGGCTATGTTTAGCACACCAATAAACAACATGAAAGTTGATGACCCAGACAGCTTCTTTATGAATGACATTCAAGCTGCAGATAATATAACGGATATTACCACAAACTCGGAAGACTTTGAAAGAGAAATTGATAATATGCCTATGCACTCAGCTCCTGGGCCTGACTCATGGAATTCAATATTCATAAAGAAATGTAAAGTACCAGTAGCGAGAGCACTCAGCGTAATATGGAGAAAGAGCCTGGATACAGGGGAGATACCAGCAGCACTTAAATCTGCAGATATAGCTCCGTTGCACAAGGGGGGGAGTAAAGCCTTGGCAAAAAATTATAGGCCAGTTGCACTAACATCACACATAATAAAAGTGTTTGAAAGAGTGATTAGGAATCAAATTTCTAGTTTTATGGAAAACAATGAATTGCACAATCCAGGACAACATGGATTTAGAGCGGGAAGATCCTGTCTGTCACAGTTACTCAACCACTATGACAAAATCACAGAAGCCCTAGAAGAAAAGCAAAATGCAGATGTTGTATACACAGACTTTGCAAAGGCGTTCGACAAATGTGACCATGGGGTGATAGCTCACAAAATGAGGTCAATGGGAATAACTGGAAAAGTAGGACGCTGGATACTCAATTTCCTGTCGAACAGAACACAAAGAGTAACAGTCAATCAGATAAAATCGAGTCCAAGCGATGTTAAAAGCTCTGTACCTCAAGGTACAGTCCTTGCACCGCTACTGTTCCTTATTCTCATATCTGATATAGACAAAAATACACGCCACAGCTTCGTGTCGTCCTTTGCAGATGACACAAAAATCAGCATGAAAATTACCTCTGCTGAAGACATTGAAAAACTACAAGCAGATGTCAACAAAGTTTTTGATTGGGCAGCAGAAAATAACATGATGTTTAACAGTGATAAATTTCAGGTACTCAGGTACGGCAAAAATGAGGATCTGAAACATAATACAGGGTACAAAACACAATCGAATCTTCCCATAGTAGGAAAACAGCATGTCAAGGATTTGGGAATAATGATGTCCGACGATCTAACGTTTAGGGAGCATAACCAAGCAAATATCGCGTCAGCCAGAAAAATGATCGGATGGATTACGAGAACTTTCAAATCCAGGGATCCCATCACAATGGTTGTACTCTTCAAGTCACTTGTGCTGTCCCGTCTCGAGTACTGCTCAGTACTCACTTCCCCTTCAGAGCAGGAGAGATTGCTGAAATAGAGGGAATACAGAGAACATATACGGCACGCATAGACGAGATAAAACACCTAAATTATTGGGATCGTCTCAAAGCTCTCCAAATGTACTCTCTAGAAAGGAGACGAGAGAGATACCAAATAATATACACCTGGAAAATACTGGAGGGTCAGGTCCCAAATCTACACAGTAAAATAACAACGTACTGGAGTGAACGATATGGAAGAAAATGCAAGATTGAACCTGTGAAGAGCAGAGGTGTCATAGGCACAATCAGAGAGCACTGTATAAACATCAGGGGTCCGCGGTTGTTCAACGTCCTCCCAGCGAGCATAAGAAATATTGCCGGAACAACCGTGGACATCTTCAAGAGAAAACTGGACGGTTTTCTAAGAGAAGTTCCGGATCAGCCGGGCTGTGGTGGGTACGTGGCCCTGCGGGCCGCTCCAAGCAACAGCCTGGTGGACCAAACTCTCACAAGTCGAGCCTGGCCTCGGGCCGGGCTTGGGGAGTAGAAGAACTCCCAGAACCCCATCAACCAGGTATCAACCAGGTAGACAGCTGACTAACCCACAGGTACCTATTTTACTGCTAGGTAACAGGGGGATAGGGTGAAAGAAACTCTGCCTATTGTTTCTCGCCGGCGCCTAGGATCGAACCCAGGACAACAGGATCACAAGTCCAGCGTGCTGTCCGCTCGGCCGACCGGCTCCCTTGAAGAAGATTAAGCCACCCAGGAGGTAGCACGGGCATGAGTAGACCGTAAAACTACTACATGAAGGACACTATGCCTACCAAACCCAGCCTCCAGATTGATAATACACGAGGCGACTCAGGAAGGTGTTCGGGATGTACAAACTAGGGACTGAGAGGCCTAAGTAAAAGGAATGAAGAGCCTAAAA